ATTTTCCCCTCCTCCGCTCTATCCTTGTTTTGATAGGTGCTGATGTCATTCCACAAATTTTTTCACAAATTAGGGGGCTGAAATGATGGGGCCCGACAGGAGCTTAATCCCTGATATCAAAGTTTGGCTGTTGGCTTGAGCGTTACGGGATATGGCCTCCGTCCGAACCCATCCGCCCCCCCTCAGCTGGCATTTGAAGTGACAGAAAGTTGAGTCTGCAGTCCAGCAGCAATCTCTGTGTGTGTGTGTGTGTGTAGGGTTGTTACAAATCATCGAAGAGTTTCGGGAGGGCGAGTTGAGGGCAAGGGAGTCTCAAGGATGTCATTTCTGGTGGGTTGCTTTTTTTTCGGGAAGACAAGAGAAGGGTATAATGAAGGAAGATGATAAGATTACCAGGGGTTAGAGGAAGCTGCAGTGGTGGTGAGGGTCAAAAGGGGCAAAGATGGGCTGCGGAGGGGTGGGGGGGTCGTTGGTGTATCTGGGAGCTTAGCGATCGTCATAGGGGAAAGCCCTCGGTTGCCTGGAAACCGGTGGGAAACATTTGTAAATATAGCCGTCCTGCATTCTACACCCTATTGCTGTTAGCAGCCTATTTATGTGAATGGTATTCACAAACTTCATTCTCCTTCCATCTCATTTGGACATACTCTGATCATACTGTAACTACTTTTGGTGATTTTTCAGTTCAAGCACAAAGTGTGGGTTGAGCCCTCGTAAAATTGCACGATAAAGACGAGTTCACAGCACTCATGCAGACGCACTTCTCAGGAAGACCGAACGACTCTTCGGGTTCCCCCTGAAAGCCTGCAATTGCGGTCATCTCCGATATTGACTTTGTCATTTTTACAGCTCCTCTAGATGGTTCTCATGAGCACCCGGCCAAGAGAGCCTCATTGGAGGCAACGCAGTTAATGGCTTCAGACATTTGCTCTCTGTGCCCTGCTGCAATGTCGGTGCCAGAGCTGCCTGTGTGTGTTGGAAATGGCTGCCTCAGTTATTATCAGGATAATCCTGAAATTGGAGACAGTATTAGAGTTGGGCATGTCATTCAAGGGCGGGATCCCGCCTGTGTATTGACTACCGTCACTTCCAATTAGACAAAACTTTTCCTCAAAGCCTCACAGATCGTGGGGACTAACACCCTCCTTTTTGTGGATGCTCACCGCAGACGACCAGTGCCGTTACGGGCCAAATGAGATCTTTAGGTAATTCCAAGAATATGGCTTTGTCCTCCCTGACCTCCACGCTCCTCCCTGCTCTCCCCCTTCTTTTCCCATCCTCACCTTTGGCCCCCGGCTGTTGTTTTCCCATGAATCCTCGTGTAATAGGTGTGGATATTAGCCCAGTCGGCCCAGTGTCGGGTGACGGTGCGCTCAGCTTTTGGGCTGCGCGAGACTGCGGGGCCTGTCACTGCAGCCCCCTTTAGACGCTGCTGATGGAGTCATTTGTTTTCGCACATTAATTCAATTCTGTCCCCAGACCAGGGTCGGACACCTGCTTTCCATTGCGGTGGAGCAGTGGTGGGGGGGGGGGGGGCTAGCTGGGCCACCTGCTGATGTTATTACAGTAGAGCGGCATCCAGATGCACATCCACATACATATGCACACACCCACACACACAGACATGCGCTTTCATGTTCTTGTCTTGGTGTTTCTGCCTGAGATGACCTTGTTGTGTGTTGACGCTGTGATTAAAAATATTCACCGTGACACAATTCATCTGAGATGTCTGTTCAGTCGGTTCTGTGGGACTTTTTCTGAAAGCGAGCTGCCCGGACTCCGACGTGTTTGGTTAACCTCTCAGCTCCTCACACGCTGCACCGGCCCGCCTCACTCAGCGCTCTGCCAGTTGTAGAAAAAGTTCCGCCAGCGATTTCCGCCGGTGGAGGTGAGGAGAGCTCTGGCTCTCTCTCACACACTGTAACAGTCGCTCTATTGTTAGACCTGCTCGCCCATGTGGAGCGCGACGGGCCGCATGCGCTGCTGGTTCAACCTTACGGTGCACTGCCCCCCTGTGCTCGACGTGTCCACGTGCCTGTAAAACACGACCGAAATCTGATCCACGGTCACCTACTGTTCACTGATTCGCTGACAATCATCACTGCAACCTCATCTTTCCCTGGAGTCACACACACACACACACACACACACACACACACACACACACACACACGAACCAAGCAACTAAACACCCTGCCCTCTTGCAGATGTAGCTGCAAATACACACAAAGGTGCACATGCACACACAGAGGAGAAACACACAGGTGCATGCACACAGGAATTACACGTTAGCATCTATTGGCTCATCACCAGTAACCTGCTGCTAGAAATCCAATAGCCAGGCATGTGATTGAAATCTGGCAGTGGTTATAGCAGCCTGGTCCCTAGCTGCCAGGTATGTGTGTATATGTGTGTGTGTGTGTGTGTGTGTGTGTGTGTGTGTGTGTGTGTGTGTGTGTGTGTGCATACTTTTGCACAGTGTGGAGCAGTGGCTATATCTGTGTTAAGTATTACTATTGAGGTGCGGTGCATGAAATGTCCTCTGGCGAGCCAGAGCAAAAGGTGTGAAATAGAAAGCTGTGTTTTTAATCAGGCCCTCCAGAAGTGTAAAATGAAGACATTTATGGATCAAGTTTGAGGTTAAACCTCCTCAGTCCACATGATGTGCGCACGGATAAAGTATTTCCAGCTTTGTGTTTGTATGTATGAGGGAAGGGCAGTCTTTTTGTATACCTGTTGTGTATGCCCGTAATTAACAGATAGTTATACAGACAAGTAAAGTGCGGTAATCCAAGAGTATTTTTCCCCTTACAAAATATCCTACTATGTGAAGCTATTCAGTCCAGGCTTTACATTAGGGGGCCTGGCGCTATAATCAGTAGCATCAGCGAATTGTGCAGTTTCACAGTCAAGGACACTGTAATTGAAATGCATTCTGCCTCCTCATTCACTTTGAAGCTCCCCCGGCATATACCTTTCTCCTCTGTCTAAATAGGAAACTGAAAGCTGATGTAACGTGTTGCCCACCCTGCAATCAGCCCACTTACTACTGGGACGGAGCCCAATCAATGCCTGCCTGCATGCCGCCCAGATGTAGCCTCTGACTTAAGCCCCCTGCTTGTTTAAGAAAACCCCTGTCCTGGTTTGCAAACCAAGGCTTCCACTGGAAATGACCAATTAGGGGGTAATATGGACCTGGTTTCTTCCGTGCCAGTTTGAATCGGAGCGCTCATATATAATGTGATATGATCTGAGAGATACATGGGTGGAAGTGGTTTGGAGTAGCATGAAATGGCTCCCACTTCCCTCCCTCCCTTCCTCTTTTCTCCCTTCCCACCCCCTCTCCACCCTCCAGGAGTAAATTGGAGGTACATAATTACTGCAATACCATGTGAGCCTAATTGATTACTGCTCCCCCCTCGGCCATTGGCAGCAGCTTGTGAGTCTGAACAAATCTTTAGTGACCACACATCCAGTTCAGGCCGCGCTGATCTGCCCCGGATGTAATTTCAGTACCTCTGTTTCTCGTTGAAGAACATTCTCCCCTAGGTTGAGCCACTACGCTGCAGACGCTGTGGCATGTTGTCCAAAATACAAGTCAAAGGCAAAATGCACAATATTAAATTTGTGACCCAATTTGAGAACATTTTAAAGGAATGTATTGAGATACAATAAATCCATGAAAGATTCTAAAAAGTACAGATGATTGAGTTGCATATTAAAGAATCAATTTAAAAGACAAAACATGTCATTGAAAATATTCATAGAGGCATGTCAAGTTATGTCTTGACTCAACTTGTATACAGTTACATGGGTATGTGTGTTCATGTCAGGGAAGAAATGCAAAAATGTGGTTTCATCTCCTGCCACCGGTCCTCTTGAATGTGTCGGGCATCTGCTCAGACAGCCGCCCCCGGCACCCAGCCTCAAGTGCAGCTCTGGGGGAATCCGGCTGGTGGCTGAGGTAATGAGGCGAATCTCCCCCCCTCTGTCTCTCTTACACTCACATACGCCAGGTGTGTGTGTGTGTGTGTGTGTGT